CATCCATTGTTTCCTTCCTTTTGCTTTGTTCTCACACACAGGCTATTCATTAAGATACGCCCTACAGGCTGAAATCCAAAAGCAGTCTTATTGAAAAAGAATTTTTAGTATACTTTACCTCCACTAAGATACCATAATGACCATAAACATCAGCAAGCATCTCATTTTTATAGACTAGGGGATAGAATACTCACAAACCACATTAATAAAGACAATATTAAGAGAGAAAAAGGGCTGGCATTTGCTTAAACGTGGAGCACTGAAAAATTCAATATGCAATAGTCACTCCTCTGAGCTAAATATTAAAGCATTAAAAATTTCATCAAGGAAAATAATGAAGCACAAAATAATTTGCTAACAAAAGCAAACGCAGAAGAGTAAGGGGTGAAATACACTGGATCAGATATACTGTAAACAGCTAGGAAAGTATCAAATACAAATTAAAGACCCAAAACAACAAAAAGCAAACTGTATGAAAGCAGATCACCCTATTCTTCAGCTGTTTGTCAAAGACTTACCTAAATTTCATAAATATCAAAAAATACAATCTCATTAATGTGATAAATTCTAAATTATTAAGAAAATAAAGCAATGACCTGTTAAAGTTATCTATAAAACTTCAAACATACCCATCTGAGGATTTCTAATTACAGTATATTATTATGAATACCATTATACTAAGCTTGGAAGATATCCTCCTACACAGTGATTCTTTGCCTCAAGTCTTTGAGCTGTTCTCTAGGAAGGGAGCTTGGAAGCAACTGTTATCAGACTAGAACAGCAGTAAAGGGAACACCTGACTTAAGTAGAGGTTTGTGGGCCCTGGTCGACTTGGGCTACCAGCCCTGGAGTTCTTCAAAGCTACGTCTCAAGTGTACTGCCCAGCTCTACTACCTAGCCATGTGATCCAAAGAAAGTGACTTAAATTTTGTACGCCTCAATTTTCCCTATGTACAATGTCAGTTCACAGGGTTATTTACAAAATCTATGTAAAATTCTTAGCATGTTGAAAATACTGCATAAACACTAATTTACATGGCAATAATCCATTGCTAATGATCTGCTAGGTGATTTAGAAAAACTAAGGCCTTGAAACCCTCATTTAAATTCAGAGAAAATTAGTCTTGAATTGAATCCAAACCCAGATGTATGCTTTATTGACCTGGGAAGCAGTTTTCATAGAACAGTGCTGCTTAAGGAAACTGTGCCAGGCACCAATACTTTCTCTCTCTCTCTCTCTCTCTCTCTCTCTCTCTCTCTCTCTCTCTCTCTCTCTCTCACACACACACACACACACACACACAAATTTATGCCCCTACTTTGGAGCCATTAATATATTGTTCAATAATGATACTTTGAACTCAGATTAAACATGGCTATTTGTAGAATATTCATCTATGTGCTGGTGTTTTTTAATAAATATGGAAGATGTCAAATAATTCTCATAGCAAAAAAATGGAACAGAAATCTGACTGAGCATTTAATGGGAAAAATTACTACTCTGTTGAAAATAAAAAATTTGGATAAAGATAGTTTGACACATCCTGATGAGACAGTGTACGAAGAGAGTCACAGACATTGCTTACCACATGGAACATTCTTTATGGTGTTAAAAACACTCTAAAAGGCTATTTTTCACAGATAATTTTAATAGGCTGGCATAATTATGCTAAGAAAAGTACCTTCCATTGTCACATACTTGTTTAAGAATAACTGAAAAGGTTGATAGGGGTTTGTGGCCCAGATTATAGACACAAAACAGTTCAAAGGTGAGTTCTCTAAAGATATGGGGAAGGAAAAATGTCAACAAAGGCTTAAAGTAACTTCCCTTTCTTATCTAGTTACCTTTACAAAGAGAACATAAGTAAAAATTCAATTCTAACAGATAATACATATATAAAACCCAATTTCACAAAATGGAAAATAACTCATGTCATAATTATGGTGCTTATATTCAATAATTTAATAGCAATTTATATTATCAAAAATATGCTACCCATAGTTATTTCATTGACTTGGCATTTCAGCAAACTGTTAAATTGTTAATAATTTGTCATAAAAAACAACAAAGGGCAATTTTATTATTATTTTCATCACAGAGTTCAGATAACTGCTATTGACAAGTTTGGATTATTTGATGAAAAATACTCTTATAATTAATATGCAAAACTAATCTTTCTAACATCAAAACATTGTACTCCTGTGGACTGCAATGATCTATTGAGCTAAAGAAGCTGATGTGGGTAGGAGAGTATGGCAATATACCCACTTTCATTTGGAGGCAAGACCATGCATATTAGAACACTGATTCATTCTGAGACAGCCATAACATTCCAACTATATTACAGAATTCCCATTAATTAGGTTAAAAAAAATCTCAAATAGAAAAAAATTCCAAAATGTTCAAATCAATTTCGATATTCAAAAAGTTCAGTCCCCATTCAGAAACAGATAAACAGTATATTTATTAAATGAGTTAAGACAAATAAACTTTACAAACAGACAAATAATAAAAGGCTCAGTGGCTAAAATAGGTGGTAAGCATCATTAAAGGAAATCAACACCATCACGGTATCTCAGTTGGCTTACATGTGGAAAAAAATTTTCAAAGAGCAATTTCACAGAAATGAAGCCAGTTTTTTTTTCTTATAAACAA